GGTGTTATGTAGTTTGGTTCGAGCTTAATGAGGAAGGATCAAAATGTGTCAAACAAAAGGTCGAGGAGCGAAACACCTTCAGCGTTGCCGGCTTTTAAAGTAAGTACGATTTCAGTTTAAATTATACAAAGTTAATTCATTTCAAAAGACAGCTTCAGCTAGCAAGATTTGGTTTATTTAGGATAGAATTAAAGAAAGATTAGTATAGACTTCAACTTGTTGTTGATTGTAGGTGAGAAAAGAAAAGATGGGAGACAGAATAACTGCGCTTCAACAATTGGTCTCTCCTTTTGGAAAGGTAATGCAAAGCTTCATAAAAAGAAAAAATGTTGATCACTTTACAGTAAGTGGAATCCAGTACTCTTTTTCTTTTCTTTTATTTTTTCTCTTTTTTCCTCTGTATTATTTGGGATAGAAAAATGCCAATAATCCTGATGTAATATATATATTGTTTTATTTCATTATTTTTTATTCGATTCGATTTTGTGTTTCTCAGACGGATACGGCTTCTGTGCTTTCCGAAACTATCGAATACATAAAATTTCTACACGAACAAATCGGTGTAAGTCTTAATATACATCAAATCATATTTGTTTTTTGTGAATGAAATATTAATTAAGGTTTGTGCACTTTTGAGTTTTAATAGAAATTAACTGTGGGGCTATGCTTGTGTGTAAAATATCAGGCCTTAAGTAGTCCTTACACCAAAAGTGGAGCTCCCATACACCACCAGCAGGTACTCAAATATATCCTTACACATTGNCACAATCTTTGACCTGTTGCATTTTAATGCAACAATGTTTTAATTATTCATCTGTAGAGTTCAAGTAAGAACAAACTCGATCCAGAGGGACCTCGTGAAGATCTAAGAAGTCGCGGGCTATGCTTAGTTCCGATTTCCAGCACTTTGCCAGTGACTCATGATCAAACAACAGTTGATTTCTGGGCTCCTACATTTGGAGGAAGTTTCAGATGAGTGAGGATCAAATTCCATGTTTTTTTTTGTCACCATACAAATTTGATAGAGAGAAAAGGAGGACTCTAAAAGAATTAAATAGCATAAAAGTGATCACTTTTTTAACCCAACCAAATTATCCGTGATAGAAAAAAGATTTGTGCAAGGAAATGAAAAAAAGATAGGAGAGCTTTAATTTGGGACCAATTGCATGCAAATGTTAGTCATTTAATAGTTCAAGAATTATGATTAAAGGTTTGCTATATAGCTAGGAATGAGGATGAAATAGTTTAGGGAGCAGTTCATGTTGTTTAATTTGTACCTGAATTTAGCTGAGTGAATGGATAGAAAAGTAGCCTTTTGGTGGTGTACAAGTATGTATTATTTTTTAGATCTGCCATTTGTTCACTTTAGTATGTTATAATATATTGTTATTGCCCCAATTAAAAAAAATATATATATGAAATGAAAGGAATAACTTAATTAGAAAACATGAGAGGCCAATGGAGTTTTCTTATTGTGCAATGCTCTTAATTTGTTTAACTAGAAAGTGTATATTTTGATAGATATATATTGGATGGATGGGAGGGGCTGCCTTTGTGCTTTTTATATAGTGGCCACATTCATATCCTTCCATTGGAAGGCAAGACACTAAGATCAAGTCAACACTATCATCACTTTCAGTGTATGTATACTTTGATAACACTTAGCTAATTTAATGACCCTTATTATTTGCAATTGCTATATAAGCACAGCTAATTTTCATTTCTTATAAACTAAAGCACGAAATAAAAATTTGAAAACTACAATTTTGTCGTCTGTAAACTAAATGAGAAAATAAATAAATAAATAAAAAACAATANTGTAGCTCAGTCGCTCGACATAGTTACCGCTCTAAATCCTAAAATCTATCGGTTTAGACCTTATATCTTCACCTCAATCTACATATCCTGTGGCCTCTATGAATTGAGTAGATTTGCCACTACTTCGATTTGGATCCATCGATGACATTCATATGTGGCCGTCGAATTTATATTTGCTATTTGATGCAATAAATGGGTTGGAATTATTGTTTATTTGTATTGCATGAAAATATTATGGTACACATTATTCCTCGGTCATCGAATTTTAAGTTCATGCCTCGTGCTTTGAATTGCCAAAATTGAAAAATTGTGCTTAAATTGCAATTGAGGTGTAGATTGTTGTTTGTTTTGGAGTTTTGCCAATTTAATCATGCATTTTTGCAAACCTTGCGCCATTGGATATAGAGGACATATCCAGTTATTTATTTATTATTTATTTATTTATTTATTTATTTTTTCTAAAACGGTAAAAACTTCATTAAAACTCAAAAGTTTATGTACAGAACTTCATTAAGACATATCCAGTTTTATTTAGTCGGATTATTATTTTTTTTTACTGGAATTATGAATGAGTACAAACGTTTTCCAATAAATATATATATATATATATGTATATATATTATTCATCTTTTTTTCTTCTTGGTTCTCTTTAGTCTTATCTACAATTAAAAAAATATAATTTAATCATTACCACACATTTTTTAATAAAATTTACTATTCGTCAATTTACATATTTCTAATTGTCAATATTAATTTACTCTGTTTTATATCATATCAGTTTTAATCATTATATTTTATTCCATATAATTCAAAAAACTCAAAATTAACTCATTATTCCACTCTATTTTTCCCGCTGTTTTCATCACTTTGACTATTTAGTAAAACTAGCTATATGTTTAGTAAAACTAGCTAAAACGTTGATAAGTTAATGAATTTTGAGGCTATAGTTGATAGTTTAGGATTGAAAAACAAGTTGATATAATAAACTATTTATAAAAATTAGCTATAAATAAGTTGAAATAAAAAATTTAACGGACTTCTTTGAAAATCTACCTAATGAATCTTTATAGATAAGCTCCAATATTTTAAAAAAAAAATTCGTCCTACCAAATCATGTTTATTTAGTTACAAGAAACTTATAAACTAACTAAATAATAGTGCTACAAAAGTAGTCACATACTTAAAATTAACTTATGACCCATAAGTTATAAGTTATTAACTTATGATCCATAAGTTATAAGCTAACTTTTCACCTAGATTTACCAACTATACTCTTAAAACAACACTTGAACCAAGAACTGCATCAATTGCAGTTCCACCAAATGGAGAAAAGGGAAACTGGGCAGTTCCAAAAGATTGAAATACGAGAGAATAAACATTACTAAACATTAAGAGGAAATGCAAATAATTTCAACAATCACTTATAATCACACGGTTCAGATATTGTAAGATGTTGGAGACAGTAGTATTGTAATGCCAGATTCATAACCTGTGTACATGACACTTCAAGAATCACATTTGCAATCTTATAACATGAAAAAAAAAAAAAAAAAAAAATTAAAAAAAAAAGATAAAAAGAAAAATCATAAAAAAATTGCGCGAACGGTATAATTGTATCCGGAAGAGCCAACTTAGATCAGGCAGCCCCCTTGAGTTTCTTGGCAATGGTGGCAATGTACTTCCCTTGATGAAAAGCCTGACCTAATTCAAGCTCAGATGGCTGTCTCGAACCATCACCGGCAAAAGTTCCGGCACCATAAGGACTTCCACCTTTCACTTTCTCCATCTCAAACATGCCGGCACCAAATGTATAACCGATAGGCACAAAAATCATTCCATGGTGAACAAGCTGAGTTATTGCAGTCAATCTGCACATAATCACAGATTAAGTACAACTGATAACGATCCATGATTTCATAATCGGGGCAAATTGGTTGACCAACATTATTTTATTTTATTTTATTTTATTTTATTTAAGTAAGGGTCTTACGCTGTAGTTTCCTGTCCGCCGCCCTGGGAGCCGGTGCTGTAGAAGATTCCGGCAGGCTTTCCGGCGAGTTTCTGTGTCCTCCAAAGGCCCCCAGTTGCATCAAGAAAAGCTTTGAACTGGGCAGCCATCATTCCAAATCTTGTGGGAAAGCCAAAAACGAAACCGTCGGCCTCAGCAAGTTCATTAGGTGTGATAAGGGGCACTTCACTCTTTGGAGGTGCGCTCATTTTCGTAAGGACCTCGTCTGGTAGTGTCTCGGGGACCTGTTGAATGCAGAAGAATCGAGTTAAAAAAAGGCTGAAAATTACCTTGAGCAGAATTATTTTTTCAGAAAATATATCCATTAAAGTTCTGCTTTGGAAAAAGGAAAAGTGATATTTTGTAGTTGAAGTGAATGTAGTGTTGGTTGTAGAATTAGATGTTGGATTGCACTTGGACTTTGGACAAAAGAGTAAAGACAGATTTTTTCTCACATGATACTAGAACATGTTTACAAATTAAGCAACTCTCCTTGATGAAAACAAATATCTTCTTGGCGGACTAAAAGCAATATTTAGATTTGAATGTTTTCCCAAAGCTGGTAATCACATTTAAATGTTTGCAAAGAATTCATAAAGAGAACTCAATAATCAAATGATACAGAAATTCTCAGCTTGTGTTGGTTCAAAGATTTGTACTTCTCAAGTCATGAATAGCACTATTTTTCCTGATGCATGTGTAAAAAATATGAAAAAAAAAAAAAAAAAAATTGATGCAGATTAATAATGGCTTTCCTAGTTCACAGGATCTCAGTGCCTAACCACATAATTTTTCTTCTTGTCATCACTCTCTTTCCAAAACAATGCAATATCTAGCATTTACCTATTTTAGAAAAGGGAGTAGTGACTTAAGGTTTCCAATATCAAATGAAAATGCAGATTTTAGTCTTTTAACGAAAATGAAAATTTAATAAAAATTTCAATTTCTTCACAAATTTCATCATATTTTACGATTTTCATCATATTTTACGATTCCACTGACGCTTATCACAGCTAGCAGCATATCAATTTCTTCAGAAAATGCAATTAAAATAAGAAAAAATATATAAATTGTGAAGGACATATAATTCCTACCTGCCATAGTTTGGCCTCAACTCCCTCAACAGATGCAGCTCCCTTTTTTATCTCTTCAGCTAGTTTCTCCACATGCCCATACATTGAATAGTACCTAAAAGAATTAAATTATACTTTGAATAACTACAGTACTCAGTGACTGAAAAGCAACATTATATCATCACCAGAATCTAAGAAAGACAAACTCCAAACTCACGGTTATGCATTATATGTTGGTAAAAATCATCTTGGTTTTTTAACAAACTACAAGCAGCAGAAGTTTCACAACATACAGGGTCTAAGAAACATTTTTCTCGAAAAAAGCTAGGGAATTTTCCAAAGGGTAGTTTCACGAGGTAGAGACTTATCATATTAACAACTATTAACCATTCATCCAAATTCATCCTGCAGTTGAAATTCCTAATCAAGCCCACGTTTTTTTGTTCTTCCCAGAACAGACCATCTAACTGTTACCATTAGTATGCCATTGATGACTTACAATGAAATACAGAATCTTGATAATTTTTTAGCATTAAACTATTATATTCTACACAAAGATTTTCAGATTTGGAGACAAGAAAGATTCGGATCTTAACTTCCAGCAGGATCATAATTCAACTCACTAGCAGCACATTAACAACACCGGTATTTCTTCTGTTTAGACGGTCTAACCATTGTGCCGACATACTCTTTTTCACAAATATACGCACGTTCATTAGAAAATATCATACTTCAAGAAACAACATAAAGAAAAGCATAAACATTTGATAGTATAAGTAGTATGCATTTTTGTATAAGAAGTATATGACTGGTCGACTCGCCTAACGATTAGGCTACCTCACACAAGAATTTGTGTAACACGAATTGAGGTCCCAACATATGATCTCAACTCCATGCTCGAAAATTGCTGGCAAAATACCAAGATTGTTTGTTATAGCAGCTACTGATCAAATATCTATCCATTTCATTCATTTAAATCATCCATGAAATTTGGCAACCAAAACAAAACTTACCTTCTGGGTAGCATCATTATGATAACATAAACTTGATCCAGCACGATATAACCCAAATTTCAGATTCACACTACTCATATAGATTGTGGAGAAAATGAAAAAAAATATACAATCACTCAATGACTCTCCACTGCAGTCTTGCATCAAGACAATTCGATTAACGAAATAATTAACATGAAGCGCAGGGAATTTCACTTCTATATAAAGATCGTTTTTTTAAGCTAAATGCAAAACCTCCCAAACTCAAGAACAAGCACCTTAATTTAATGTCAAGTAGACCCAATTTTGATCAAGAACAAATTCATAACTAGACTTATAGACAGCCCAATAAAAACCAAGAGTTGCGACAATGCTATCACGATTTGAAGTCCCATGAATGATCATGAATCTTATTTTCCACACAAAAAAAAAAAAAAACGTATGTACTCACACAATATAAACTTTGGTCGCCATTGGTGATTCACCGAGTGCTCTGCGTTTCAATATTTTGTCTTTCCCCACAACTGATATATAATTCCGATAAATACAGAGCGGGTTAATGAACTTGGCCGGCCTATTTGTAGCTCAGGGGCGCACCAAATTAATTAGTGACAATTAATTCGATTAATTAAGGGCTAAAATAATTAATTGTTCTAGTTGGATGCCTGAACGACGTCGTTTCGTGGTCTAATGGACTAGCATCAATGATGAGAGGTTAGTTACTGTCGCAGCCCATCATCATTTTCAATAAAATAATGATAATGATTTGTTTATCTTCTATAGTGAAATATTCTGCATTAATTCATGGCTTAATATTTAAGTCACGATTATGTAGGATTGAACCTTTTTAATATAGTTGTACATTTTCCAATTGAAATTTCGTAATTTATAGAATAATATAAATAAAGTATAATATTTTATACTATAATATATATTTTTAACAAAATAATTACGACGGTTTGATTGATCTAGTCTCATACAATTTTTTTTGCGTAATTGTTTTGTTTGGCGTAAAATTTTCTTTGCCGGGGTTGGTGTAGCCGTGTTGACCAGAATAAGTCTAAGAAATTGTTATGGGTTTGTTGTGTGGGATTCAATAATTTGGATGATAGGACCTTTGTGGTTGGATGACAGTAAAATTGACTTTTTGCTGGGATTTAGGTGTGGACAAGAAATTAATGGGTTTGGTGCACTACAGGTTGCATGTTGACCCAAAGCTACTGTTTTTTCAATAAGAAAGAGTGGTAATTACTAACTGCATTTTGTGTTTCAAAAAACATGATGAGTATAAATTGCATAATCTCTAGAATGAAAAACTAACCCTACAAATAAATAAAATTCTAATAAATAGTAATACACAACCATTGAACAATATACTGTATCCAATTTCATTTAGTATATCCCAAGGCACAAAAGAAAAGATGATTGGAAATTTTTTTGTTCGGATAAGTTGTATTGCTTTGTCTCAACTTTAGGTGTAGGTGGCTCTTTCAGCTGAGGCCCACAGAAGAAGCCAACATAATTTCAATAATTATTTCAATCCGCCTTGCTAGGAAAGCCAAAAAAATGGAAGGAAATGCATTCGCACTTTGCTTGTATAAAATTTGACACCACTTGTAGGCTGGCCCATAGTTAATGATTGTGTTGTCACATGACTGCCTAATTGATACCTCCTCAAATTTAAGGTGCTATAGTGGAGATCAACTTGAGTTTACTAAGATATGTAAGGTGGTATAGTGTAGATCAGCTTGAGTTTACTAAGAAACACTCAAAAGCAACCGAGAATGAGAGATTTCGTGAAGATATTTGTTGTTTGATCTGTAGAGAAGACCAAAATAAGTTGTATAGTCTCATGCGCAATATGTTGTCGAATGAAGTGACATATAATCTCAAGCATGCGCTCATGAAAGGTATCAGTATGAGACATCTTCATAGCACTCTGACTATCACAATTTAGAGTAGTAGGATGACGATTGAGGTGCACCGAGATCAACAAGTAGTCGATAGCCACAATAGCTCTGAGTTGGAATCATCAAGAGCATGGTACTTAGATTTAACACTCGATTTGGTTCTTACTGTGCCAGGAGATGAGTGAATCACCCATAAAGAATCAAAACCCAATAGTGGAACGACGATCAGTAAGATCACCAGCCTAATCTACATCAGAATAGTCGCTGAGTGTCGAGAAAGAACATGTCGAGAAGTGTAAAATATGCAATTGAATACCCTTTACACAGAGAATGATGTGCAATACAGTAGAATGGTGGGTGGTTCTTGGAGCAGCCACAAATTGACACAATATGAATAACACTAGTTATATCAGATCGAGTGACAGTCAAATAGATCAAACTCCTAAAAATCTTCATGAAATGAACCATACATATTTTTCGACATATAGGGTTCGGTAATGTTAGCTTTAGTAAGAATTCAAAGGTGGATAGACATATTTTTCGACATATAGGGTTCGATAATATTAGCTTTAGTAAGAATTCAAAGGTGGATAGTTGATGGACTTGTAGCCCAAATTAACTTAAGCCTGGGTTAACTACCCTTTTCTTCAACAACTCTTGTACTTGGGCATGTCCCATTGCAATGACTCGTACTCCATTTCTCGACATTATCAACTCCAGTTATTATTTTGACCTCACTTTTTTGTTAATATTCAAATAAAACAACTTCGTCGTAACTTAATAAAAAATAATTATCTTAATAAAAATTACATAAGACTAAGATGAAATGGACACGAAAAACACTCTAAAATACACACAAAAATGACTCATATCATAGACATATTAATTGTTTTCGTTTGGAACCCAACTGAAGTGCACCAAAATCTTTTGGTAGGAGACATTAAACCGCAAGCTATTTTTGCCACTATTGCTTGCAAGATTAGTAATCACCACTTTTTTGTTAGTTTTGTGTACAAACTTCATACCAGGAGTGATCGCAAATTGTCTTGGATACAAAATTTCTCAAAAAAATCTAAATGTTTTTAATTCAACCACTTTTTTTTTAACTCAACTTTAACTCAACCCCACTATCATCAATATAATAAATATAACTAAATAATATCAATCAATCATTCTTACAAACCACCTTACCTTAATTCACTATTCATCCACTCACATCTATATCTATATATATATATAATAAGAATTACTATTTACTAAAAATAGTAGCAAAAAAATAGGTCATAATTTAATTAAGTCTATAAATAGTAAGTTTTATTATTTTTCTTATTTTTTTATTTAAAAATCGTACAACATTAAATGTTACCTTAAATTTCGGGCTTTAGTTCATTTTATAATTTAAAAAATCCGGCTAAGATTTATTAAGTGTGTATGTTTTTATTTTTATTTTTTTTAAAAACAACGAACAACGTTAAAATCTCGGTCTCTATATTTATAAAATCTCAATTCAAAATATAACAAAAATATTAGAATCTCAGTCTTTATATTTGTGTCTTTAAAAAAAATATTGAACGCTAAAAATATTATTTAAATTGCATAATCAATCAATTGATCTTAATTTTTTGAAAATTACTATGTTTATTTTTTATTTATATGCATAAAGTAAAAATAATTAATTTATCTTTAGCTATATAATTTATAATCTTAATATACTATCATTTGGTGTACACATTTATTATATGAATCATAAATATTTTTATTTCATAAAATTAAATATATTAGAAAAATAAAAAAATTTCTTTGGATCAATCGGGTGATTGAATTAGTGTACTGCTCAGGTTGATTGAATTAATTTTAGGTAATATTTAAAATAGTTTAAAAACTTGACACAACTTGGTTGGTCCTAGATGACTAAGTTATGTATCAGTTCGACCACATCAAATCGATTATTGAACCTAAATATAAATTTTATATTAAAAATATTTTATTACGTGAATGTGATGTAGTCCAAACTTCAAATAATCGTATTAACAATACTTTTATGACAACATGTTTAATGATTTATGAATATTTATATATCATTTTATTAATATTTATCCGAATTAAATAATATTTTATTTTAATATTTATTAATGTATGGTAAATATATGGTTTTCAGAACTACACCATCATCGAAACGATGAAGCTATTTTATTAAATTATTTGTGGTTTGTTCATATTTTAATTTATAAACATTTTAATAGATATTCATATATATATATATATATATATATGTAGTACTTTTGAAATAAATTTAAATAAAATGTGTTACTTAGATATCTCAACAATTTATAAATTCAAATGTTTAAACTAATTGATAAACAATTTATAAATCTTTATTTTATTTAAAATAATTTTAAATATAACAAAATTTATTTAGAAAATTGTATCGATCCTACCAGTCCAACCGACTGGTGTTGACATATTCGAGAGCAAATATTATTCAAGCGAACTAGACTGGTTATAAACCGATCGTCGGTCCATCCGGTCGGACTGTGTCCAACCCGGTTTAATTTAAAAAAAATAGATAAATCATGATTAATGTTATTTATATATTTAATTTATAATATAATCGTAATATTGTTTTCTCGTGCATCGCACGGGCCACGCACTAGTAATTTTAACTAACCATCACTTCAAATCTTTTCTCTCCTACTTTACATCAAATCAACTTTAATCATTTTATTTTAAATATTATTCTAATATACCCACTAACAACTAACCATACCAACTTTTTCAAAACTAACCAAACCAAACAAAAAATCCAAACAAAACCAAAATTTTTTATAGGGTTAATTGCAGAAAAAATCATAACCTTTTGGTTAATTGCAAATAAAACTCATCTTTTTTAATTTGGCAAGAAAATACCCAACCTTTAATAAGTATTGCAAATTTGTCTCGAAAACATATTCCGGCAAATTCTGCTGACATGGCTGATCGGAAAAATGACGTGGCATCCACGTCAGTGTACACGTAGGACGCCATGTCAATTAGATGCCACATGCCACATATCTCTCTCGTCATCTCGTCATCTCGCAAAGAAGAAGAGAAAAATCTCTCTCCTCACATCGATTCTCTGAAAAAAAAAAATCTCTCCTCACAACCAGATCGGATCTGAAAATTTTCTTCAAACTCTAAGCTTTTTTCTCGCAACTCCATCTCATACGGCACAGTTGATTGGAGCAGGAAAATCGGATTAGAGAAGTCTCTTCAAAAATCTCTCCAATCGCCTCGAAACCTCTCTCCATTTCACTCGCAAAACGGCCCTCCTCCAGCCTCTGTCCTCGATCCACCGCTAACAGCCGACACGACGACGAGAAATCCCGGCGTTTCAGCAATGTCTGGCGAGTTTGAGCCCTAATATCCAGTCGCAACAAGTCCAGACTCCCGACGGCGAGATGAACGGGCGACAGGGGAAAGGTAGCCGCGGCGGGAACCGACTTCTGAGGACCGATTCATCCACGACGAGGCGATATCTTGCGAGGCTGACGAGCGACCTCGCAGAAGAGCAACCAAGGGCAGCGGTTCGTTAGCGAAACGCGAGCCACCATATTTTCCGGTGAGAGCAGCAAACCGGGCATCGAACGTGAGGGTAGCCCTTAACTCGCGGCTGAAACGACCTTCGCGAGCTCCGACGAGCCCCGACGAGCTCTGACAAACCAAATCACCGGCCAAATCCCCAAATCCCTACTCACAAAATTCGGCATAACCAGCTTTTCCGGCAATGAAGCTATGTGCCTTAATTCCACCAATTGCTCTTCATCTTCCAATTCCACCAATTGCTCTGCAAGAATTCGAGCGGTGTATGGATTTGATCTGGAATTTGAGGCATCCGAACATCGTGAGAAGAAAGATGCGTTTTTTTTCTTGTTCTGCAAATGATTTAAAATAGGG